TGACTCGGTATACATAAGTTATTCCTTAAGGAGAAAGGGAATCGAGAAAAAATAGAGACCTAATCGTCGTGATTTTCAAGAATGCAACTGCAAGTGGAAAACAGCACGAAAGCACAAGTTCAAGAGGGAAAAACGCGTCAAGAGGGAGAAAATATCAGCGAAGTTATTCATAGCATCTCTAGAAGAGGTTTTTAAGACATTCCGTTGAAAAAATTATGGTATGAACATAAATAAGCACTGAAGCCACCTACGTTGGAGAACGATATTTTCATCCTCTCAATGTGGTTAGAAGAACCTCAAAGCATAATCTAAGGTTTCAGCGACGCCAACATCAATGTATGACTAAATATTTAAATAAATGCCTTAATGCACCGCATGACCTGCTAAGTCAACGGAGTTAGCCTAAAAGTGCACAATGATGTATATCTGGGACAGCTCGTCTCTGCATTTAAGAACCGACTATGGAAAATTAGCGGAAGAAAATAATGGCATGGAGCTCTTTTGGAAGACTGCAGATGTTTCTATCGAGGAAACTGGCCTTGTGCTTGAAGCAGGAAGCTGACGACCAATGATTGATGTGTGCTCTCCGTGCTAACTTATGGATGTGAAACGTGGATCCTAAGCCTAAAATCTGTTCGGAAAGTATGCAAACGATGTCTGTTCGGAATAAAAAAAAAGAAAGATGACTGAATGAATAGGAAAACATCCAAGTTTCCGATGCCGTTCCCAAAGTAAAAAAGTTAAAGTGCAACGGACAGAACACGCTGCAAGATGAACTATCACTGTACCAAGAAAGACATAAGGCTGAATTCCAGACGGTAAACGTCTCGTAGGAAGACTTCCAGATCGACGGCAAAATGACATGGATGAGAATGGCAGAAAACAGAAGTATATGGTGAAATCTTGGCAAGGTCTTAATCCAGCGACGGATCGACAAAGGTAGAGGATGAGACTATATTACATTACATTAAACTGCAATGTAACTATTTATACTGCAGTAAAACGCCGAAGAATTGGGTGCTGTGCCAGAGTCGAATGAGGAAAACTTTGAGCTAGCCAAGTCTAACAGAGCAATCATCTGGAACCCCCCCCCCCATTCGGTCAGACTGAAAGGTAAACGGATGTTCCATCCAAGACATCTGGCAAGCCTGGACAGTAACCCATCCGCGAAGATCGAAACAAATGGAAGGCACAAACAAAATAGCCCCAGCCCACTGCGTGCAGTTCGAATCGGACTACGGCGGATTAAGTCGCACGGCTGACGTACAACCGAACGATTTGCGTCCAAAGGGCTGCAAACGCCCAACTGGAAGACCCTGGCTTAGATAGGATGATGAGATAAAATCTAGATATGGAAGGTTACGGCGGAAAATCCCACGAAACAAAAGAACGTGGGTATCGAGACATGGCAGTGTTAATTACGAAGAAGAACAAGTCAATTATTGTAGCATTACAGTAACTATCGCACCCTATAATAGATTAAACTGCATCACATTATACCTTATTACACTGCACTAAACGACATTACAATATAATCAGTGCAATAAACGACATTACGTCACACAACATTAAACTGTTTTAAATTACACCACATTACACTAAATTAAAGTACATTGCACTACCACATTACATTGTATCACCCAGCATGACCCAAAAAATGCACATCTGCAAACATATACATTCTATTAAACCAAATTGCGTTACAACCCAAAACATTAAATTACAACACATTACATTAAGTTGAACTACACAATACTAACCTGAAAAACATTATACAACACTGTCACTATCAATTTTTGTCGTACATTCAGGGGGTAAGTACACTGATGCACAGTTCCGCTACACATCTTTGCATCTTGTACAATACGCTGGAAAGAATCGGCCTTCAATGGACTATGCAGTCAGTTCAGGATCGTCTTGGACGATACGGTTCAAGGTATAAAGCTCTGCAGCACAATTTTATCATCAAGAATTACGTCACTAAAATATCTTAGTCATCGCTCCCTGAATACATAACAGATGCAAATGTTCTAA